AATATTGTCGGCAGTAGACTTCTTGGACCCCAGTATGAACACGATGGTGACGCACCACAGCCAAAGCAGTAACGGAGTCGCAGTGGAGGTTGAGATGTTTAAAGATTGCACCAACATCAAGTTCAAAGAGACGAACACGAGAACACGCGTGGTAGATGCTCAAGAGCTCCAACGTGTTGATATGGAATACCTTTTGGGACTTGGTGAGAGGCAACTGGCCACGGAAGACTGGATCACCGCTCTGTTCGATGGTGTAAGCAAGCATAGTCTTGCTGGCATCGGCATAGATGTCCAGAGGAGTAAGTAAATCGACTCGACGCGGGATAGTAGTCAGCGTAGATGATTTGAGTAGTTCTTGCCACTGAGAGAGGAGGTTCAAGACATCAGCCGGGATGGCCTGATCCCATCCGTGATCAAACTTGGACCGGCATTTGCTGACAAGACCGGTGAGAAGATTCTTACACGGCAGGATGTGGTAAGGAAGAAGGTCAGCTTCTTGGAGGAGGCTACCAAGGAATCCCAATGCTTGCCGATAAGTGACTGGGGTTGTCAAGGGCCAAGTAACAGCAGTATGGATCTCTTTTGTCGGGTACCGCAAACGTGTACCACAATCACAGACCTCAACGCCAAGTACAAATACAACGTCCTGAGTAGTTAGCTGTTGGGACGTCAGAGGGAGGTCATGGTCCTCGTAAACTTTGACGAACTCGGGATCGTCTACAGTAGTCTCAGTTGCGTGGAAGCTGAGGATGTCGTCCATGTATGAACAACTAGGCGGTACATAAGGTTCGTCATCGGATGGAGGGGAGGAAGTTGAGTGAAGGGCTCGCAGTTGGAGTTCATATTCGAGGCCGTCCAAGTCACAGAGTTGGTAATCAGCTGAGCCTAACCGACGAGGTAGTAACCCGGATAAGTAAACCATGGCAGTTTCGAGCATTGCTGGAGCAATACTCGAGCCGTAGATCATGCGGGAGAATTGGAAGAGACGGTTATCCCAGCGCATCTGGAAGAATCTCCTCAAAGCGTCGGATACTCGGAAATGCATGTAACAGTCAGAGACGTCATACAGTCGCACTGAAGGAGCTGCTCGTAACCTAGAGAGGCAAGTCCGAATCTTGAGTTGTTTGTTAGGTAGAGGATCCTTCGCCATCAGAGCTCGCAAGAGGCGATTCGTAGCCCCTAACGGCAGCACGGGTCGCCAGAGTTTCCGACCCTGTACCCCATAGAAATTGGTGCGATAAGGAGATTCCATGCTCAGTGCAATGGGCGTCATATATCCATCACTGATGAACTTGTTGAGTTTAGCTTCACAATCAGACCGACCTTCGAGGGGGCATGTTTTCCACAGATGGTGGGTAGCCGGACAGCGGCGTGGTTTGGTAGCCCCGATCTGTTGTTCCGCGTTCTCTGCGATGTCGACCCAGAAGTATTTGGAAGCAGTTCCATCTGTGTTAACCGTCAAACGTAACCGCGAAGTCTGTAGAAGCGTGTGTGAGATTGTATGACCTGCAGGAGGCTCGTGGAAGAGGTCGGCGTAAGTCGTAGGTGGGGTAGCACACATAGAAGTACCGGATCCGTAGTGACGTTGGGGACGTGGACGAAGTCGGCAAGGGAAGCTCGACAAGGACATCACCGATCGAGAGAAGAGCGTCTGTAGGAGTACGTACCGGTAATCCTTGGTCAG